ACCGCTTACTCGGCGGAGATAAAGACGACCGGTACGCCGTTAAAGCGTTTACTACTACTATACCTACTCTAAATTAAGTACTAGATGTTTAAATCCTGAAATCGCCGGACTATATCCTATTTTAGTACTACGAGCGGTATTACTACTACCGTCGTAGCGGCTTATAGTAAGAACGGGGGAATTATATATACGAGACTCTTCTTACCCCCGGTACGGACGACGACTATAACTTCGGGGTATTAAGACGCGATAGCCTCTACTATCTACTACTAAACCGCCGACTAAAACCGCGCCTAGGGATCTCAAAAGAGATACCGAAGCGCGATTAGAATATCCTCGGACCCCTATATAATCCGATATTAAGTCTAGATGCGATACGCGATCTTTTTAATAAGAGACGATATAGATCTACCGGGGTCTTATATCGAAGCGGGACGTATCCGTTTCCCCCGCGATAGATCCTAGATCTCGCGCTCGAAGAGTGTCTACTAGAGCTTACTAGTCTAGAGATATACCTAGACGCCGGCGTCCGTTAACTATCCCGTAAAGTTGATAGTACGGCTACCGTAGATACGATTCTCCGTCCGCCTACTATATACGGTTTAAGCGTAGAATAATGCGGGAAGCGTGATCCCGTCTACCGCTATACTTTTATCAACGTCGTCGTCCTCGTTACTAGTAATATTAGTATCGCCTTCGAATTTAAGACCGCTAAAGTACTTTACCGCGATAGCTACCGCGATTTAACGCTATTTCTAGGTTAAAATCGCCCGCCCGAGACTACGCTAGCTCTAGCGGGTAAGTGCGGCCGTTATCCGTCTCTTAAGCTACGACTTAGTCCTATAGTTAAAGAGATAATCCCTAACCTCCGCGGGGATATTATACCGCCGCGAGAGATAGATACGAAATAGTATAACTAATACTAGATATTAAACTACTAACTAAGCGAGCTCGGGGAAGATAAAGCGAACTAGAGAGCGAGATACGTACGTACGAGTTTACGCCTTATAATAACTAAGAACGAAATATAGAAATTTAAAGAGTAAACGGAGATTACGGATTACTAGACCTAAATTACGCTAGCGAATACCTAAGAACTTAACTCGACGGGTAAGCTACCTAGAGCCCTTATAGAGTAGAACTACTAACGCGTCCTTAAACCCTTCATTAAAGATCTCGTACTCTTAGGCGAATTTAGGTTAGACGGGCTACGATACTATATCGTTAAACTTATACTACTCCGTATAGAAGACCGTATTAAGGAGCGTACGGTCCTATCTAATATACTAGATAAGCTAGTCCTAGTAACCCTCGAAGTAGATAGCGTTATAGGGATCTTTAATAAAGCTATACCCGGGCTGATTATTAGACTAGTTATCCTATAGCTTAACTAGTAGAAACGTTAGTATATTAGGTAACCTAAAATATAACTCGTCGTAGAAGATTCGCTTTACCTTACGGAAAGCTATACTAATTTCGTCTACTAGATTACCGATACCGTATCGAATGTCGCCGTATAATAGATTCTTCCCGTCAGCGTCCTAGACTACTAACGCTTCGGGAATGGATACGCTACTAACGTATATTATATAGAGACGCTAGTTATCTATTACGCTTATTAGGCCGCGAGTGTCGTTAAGAAGCTATTACTAATAGAGCTACTTTAATAGCTCTTCGATGTCTTCGAGCTTATAGTGTTCCTTAATATAGTAGGCGTCCTAGAGGAGAATTAGCTAATAGTAGTAGATAAGCTTACTTAATATACCTACTACTTAGCCTTCCAGGCGAAACGTGATCGTCTAGTCCTCGAGACTAACTAGAGATAACCGTACGGCTAAAAATAATATAATTACGCTATCGTAGACCCACTTAAGCTTATATTAAAAAGTACTATATAGAAATTAAAGATATAGTAGTTAAGCTCGGGTTCTAGCTAGTTAATTAGCTCTTAGGGTTTAGATTCTAAACGAGTATCCTCCTCTTTAGCATCCCTAGTAATCTCCTTATCCTCCCGTAAACGTAGCTCGGCTAGCTTCGCGCCGATATCTAACGCTAAAGTTAATACCTCTACCTAAGAATCGGTAGCGATAAATATCTCTTGACTAAAATAACCTTTAAATATACGGATATAGTAATATATTAACGATTAAAGTACGGAGAGATAATTCTAGAACGATAACTTATTCTATAAGAGCTAGAATAGATCCTAGCTAGTAGTGCCGGCCTAAAATGTATTTAATACCCGCGTATCGATATATAATAAGTTCGGTACTAACTTATACGCCTTTTATAGTATACGCTTAATAGACTAGACTAACTTATAAAGTTGTAGGTCGTCGTCGTCTAACCTAGGCGTAGTATAGGATATAGTAACGAATTCAGCTTCTAACTTGGCTAAGTACTAGTAGAATGCGCTCTTCCGTAGCTATAGCGAGATCTCGAAGACGTAGTTAGGTTCGCTAAGCTAGCGGTAGCGGGCCTCATCCTCTTTTATAGCGCTCTTTAAGCCGGCGGTAAGTATCTAAGCTACGTTAGGACTAGGTTAACTATAGTTATAACCGGCGCTACTAATATAGTAACGGCCGCTAAAGCTAGTATCGATCCTACTAAGAGCTAGTAGCCCTGGTGTACTAGGTATCTCTCGCTATATAATCTAGTAATCGGGGGCCTTAGCGAAGAAATACTATAGTGTTACCTTACGATATATATACTACTCTCTCTACTAACGCCGTATATCGACGTTATACGCTTTACTAGCGTATCGCTCTAGCTTCTCTTTACTAGCTCGGAGATATCTATACGCCTTAGCGGCGCTATAAGTAAAGCCCTCGCGGAACTATAGCTTATAGATAAATAAGCTATAATCTAATAGACGAGTTACCTCGGCCGCTACATTCTATACTACTACCTAGCTAGCGATCTTTTTAGCTAGCTTACCTTTAATACTATACCTCCGCTTAAGATATTCACTTAGATTTAAGCCTAGCGTATAGTATATCTAGTAGACGGTGTAGAGAATGACCCCGAACTCTAAGAGTAGCCGTAGCTATTAAACTAGCGGTGTCGGGGCGGGCTACGACGTACTTCCACCGGTATCTAGTATATTATCATCTATTACCGACCCGTGTCTTAAGTCTAAGGAGTCGAAATTAAGCTTAGACGGCCCCTTAGGTATCCTAAACAAGTTATAACCCTTAAAATAATAGATAATTGATAGTATAGGGTGATATAGCGAAATTCTTCACTCTTATAACTAGACGCGAAAGTGATAGAGGATAACTAAGAGTTTTTATTAGTAGACGCATTACCCGTAGATTAATGACCTAACCTCTTATACTAAGACCTATTTTATATGTAGACGGGTCACCCAGCCAGACTAGAATAGAGTTAGGATAACTAAGAGTTTTTATTAGTAGACGTATTACTCGTAGATAGATAACCTAACCTCTTATACTAAGACCTATTTTATATATAGACGGGTCACCTAGCTAGATTAGAATAGAGTTAGGCGTCTCGACTATTATATATAGTGATAGTAATATCGTAGAGTTATAATAAGATAACGATATATAGTACGTACAAATAGTATACCACTATATTATAGCTATACCCTTAATCTCGCTAAACTAGCTAATTATATACTATATTTATCTAGCTAACGAGCTTAGGGTTAGACTCTAACCTAATTAGCTTACTTAGTATCTAACTATATATACTACGTAGTAGGAGAGAGCTTACTCTAATAACTTTACTATTCTACTACGCGATATACTACTACTATATACTATAAGACGATCGATCGGCCGCGATAAGGTAAGTATATTAGTCCCGATTTTACTTCTATTACTATAATAGCGGGATTAGTAAGTCGAAAAAGTATAGCGACGGAATATAGCGATACCTTAGTACGACCGCGCCGCCGGATTAGCTAGCCTTACCTAGCCTCACTAGGAATCCTACGACGTTCCCGGGTCCTCTTAGATAGGGTATTCTAGCGATCCCATTATTACCTTAATCCCCCCGCTCGGCGCGGATATAGAAGAAAGTAATCCTAGAGAGTAATCCTATAGAGATCTCTAGATCTAGGCGCCCTAATTGGTCCATTCCGCCCGCCTTAGTAGTAATCCTGCCAGCATTCCCAGGTCCTCTTGGATAGGGTTAACACTATATTAGTCGATCTTAGGGTCTTTTAGCTAATCTAAGTAGATATTATCGAAGAATAGACCCTAATAAACGTAAAAATCGAAAAAACCGTCGTTTTTTACGATAGGTACTAAGAGATATTCGACTTTCTATTTCCTTAGTACCTATTATAGAAAAAATCTTGGAATCCTTCGATGGGTACTATCGAGTAGGGTAGTAGGATAAAGAGTAACTATTCGCTATTTCTAATATCTCTCTACTTTATTCTTAAGATTCTAGAAGGTTCTAGAGGGTATATTATTAGGAAAAAAACGTCTAAATAAAGTAAAAAGTAAATTAAGAGAGGGAAAGGGGACCCTAACGCTACCCTCTAGCCACTATACGGTTCGTCTCGGCCTCCTAAATCGTGCCCGATCTTTATCATCCGCTTGAGATAGCTTGTAGGCCCATGGACAGAGATCGTAGGAGTAAGGAGGGTTGTTTAACGATATATGCTGTCTTTCATGTCCTAACGTGGGAGAATTCGGACGAGCTAGCTTCAAAAATGTAGACTTGGTAACAATTCCTTATGGATGGGTTGTGGGAGCTCTGGACGGCGTCATAAGAAAATAGACCTCTAGATAGACCCGGCTAATTTTTGCCATCATCATCGATCCCTACCATCGTAAAGAGGCGCTTAATTGTCTATAGAGCCTACGAGTGAGTAGAGGGCTACGGCATCAGCGGACGAATCCACCCTTTGTGAGAAGCCTGTCCTACGGAATGCCGAGCGTAACTAATAATACCTCGCAGGCGGCGGAGGTGGCGCACACTCAAGTCCAGACAGCTCCACCGCATCACGATGCTTGCTTCCCGTTCTAGAATACGACACCCTTGACCTGCGCGTTCTTGGAGATGTTGATGTTACGGATCATCAGGACGAAGAAAAGTGCCAGGCCCATGACACTGGTTCCGGCGATCAACATCCTACGTTGCGCAATTCCATATGCCTCCATGATGGCCTCGCGCGCCGGACTGTCCATTGGATAGCTCAGCTGCACGGTCAAGTCGCCGTAGATGGTCTCCCACTCGGGCTTGAGGTTCTCGGGCAGGAGTCTTTGGAGTGCGCCGGGTAGAGAATGCGTCCAGATGGCACCGCAGATGCTGTTCCCCACGGCTCCGCCCATGTACCCGAAAAGACCGAGCATTGCCAGCACGGCGGCGATCTGGCCGTGCTCCGCGGCCGCCATGACGGCGACTTGTTGGCACAGGATCATGGTGCTGCCCGCGAAGGCGATCAGGATCTGACACATGATGATGTACCCGATATTGGTGTGCGGCCGGCGGAAGTGAATCATCAGACCCACGCCCAGCATGTACAGCGGGACGGCACACAACAGAAGCCACTTGAAGCGGCCAGTAACGCGCATGAGAAAGCCCACGAACAGCAACCACAGCCCGGAGATGATGTCGAAGGTACTGCTTACGTAGCCCGCCTGCGCGATCGTCAGGTTGTTGACGACCTGCAGGAAAGAGCTGAAGTAGCTGGCCCAGCAGTAATACGCGATCTGGTACACAGCGTCGAGGAGGAGAGCGCCGAGAATGGTCCGCGAGACGAGGAGTTGGTAAGGAATGAAAGGCTTTGGTGCGAGGTATCGCTCGAAGGCAGCGAATACGAGCAGCAGCACGAAGCCCACGACTAACATTGCGATGATGGAGCCGGATCCCCAGTCATCCGCTGTCGATTGGGCGAGGGAAAAGGGTAAGAGGAAGAGAACCAGCCCCGTCGCGAGGAGAATGACACCAAAAGCTGTAGTATAATTCGTCAATAAGTTAAGTTCCGTTCCCCCAGAGAGAGAGGGGGGGGGAGAGGGGGGGGGGGGGGGTTGTTTGGCACAATTACGTACCGTCAAACTCAATAATGTAGAACCAGATGCTCTGAAAGAGTGTGCGACCGCTCTTGGGCCTGTCCAACAATCCTTGCTTCTTCGCTTTGCGCAAGTTATACTGCATGACGAGGTACAACGGCGCAGCCACAAAGGGGGTGACGATCGCAAAGGTCCCAAATGCCCAACGCCAGTTGATGTCTTCGTAGAAGCCCTCTGAGGCACTAGGGCCTGCAAAAGCGGTGACCATGTATGGAGAAGAGGTAAATGCGAAAGCAAGGCCCCGGTTCTTCAACTTGCTAGTGTCAGCTGTCATGACATCCACCGAGTAGATCATCCCGGTGAACCCAATGCTAGTAAAGACCTACATAGCCATCTTAGTGATCTGACATAACCAAAATTTGGCGTCCGCTCGACGGCTAACATACCTGGGCTGCGCAGAATGTTTGAATGTTTGTACAGGCGGCTTGCAGGATAAGGCCCAGTGTACCTAGGCTGACCATAAATAGGAATGCTTCTGGCCGACCCCAAATATCCAACATTTTCGCAATCGGCAGATAGGCAGCTCCCGTCATCACGCTGGAGACGATATAGATGACTGGGATGAGCGAGTGGTATTCGAAGCCACTGGTCACGTATGGTGTAAGGTTGGCCGTGATGGAAAATTGAAAAGCGTTGACAAAGTACAGCAGATAGAAGCTATTCAGCCGATGAGTTAGCAAGATGGGATGTAGGGCGTCGCCGGACATTTCGATGACGAGGACGTACCACATGTAGGTGATGATGAGGGACGTCTTACTCCATGCCAGCGTGATTGCCTCAACTCTTCTCACGCCTTCCTGAGCATCTTGGGCCGGGAACTCTGGTTGCATTCCATCGCTTCCATTACCACTCTCAACGGGTTCGTGTGCGTGAGTTGCGGCATTCTTGTCATCGACACTCTCCAACACTGTGCTTTCCTGGCTCTGTTCCGCGATACTGTTTCCATCTGAGCGCAGAAACTGTCTCAGCGAGTTGAGCTTGAATCTTCCAGCAGCAGACATGGTGAAAGTGTCTCTAACGACCAGGTGTTGATGCGAATGTGAATTTGTAGTGGACGAGGATTTTCAACGTGGATGGATTGATTCACTCAGATGGCTTCGGTATAAGCCCATAACATGCCAAGCCATCAAGCCTAGCCCCATTAGCCAAGCAGGACATCGAGAACAACGAGTATGGCCAGAGCCCAAGTTGAGTCCCGATGTCGGATTCATTCCGACATGCCAGCCAACAACAAGATCTTTTTTGAGGTCAATTTGCTCATTTGACTTGGCTTGTAGCTCGAATGATCATGACCCTGGATAGCCAAGAGTGAAAAGCTTTTTCTGTCTTGAGATTTTCACGGGCTTCAAGTGAGCATTTGCATCGGCCGATACCGTATGGTCAAACCACGCGTAGGTGCCTGAGCCACGGTGCAGACCGTGACTGGAAAAGCTTAATTGTCATAGCTCTGGCAACATATGCCCAGGATCCAGACTGCAGACTGCAGCGCCGATAGCCTGTGCAGCTGGTGTGCGAGACTGGCGCAAGAGCATTGGCGTGTGCTTCTACCCTCATCTGTAACTTGCGGCCTGGCAAGCGGCTCGGCGCCCAGGACACAGGGGAAACAGTGAACCAAGGCGAAGAAGCACCGAGCATGTCATTCGGAGCCCAATAGTGCAAAAAAGCTAAGAGAGTGGAACGTGGGAGTTGGCAGGGGCTTGGCTCCGTAGTTATGTGACTGATGATCAGATTTTCGCTGTCACATCTAATCACGTCCTGATACAGAAGATTTGATTATCCGGAAGTGGAATGTCGCTTCGACACTCTGGAAGGGAGCGAAGGGAAGCTGGCAACCAGAAAATGGAGCTCCCAGACAAGCCAAGGATGGGATGGATTGCGCCAAGTCCTCTATCGGGAATGCGAAGCATATTTTCACTGCAGGGACATCGTGTATGCTCTCTTGTGTCCTGTCGTCATTACTTTGCGGCGATACGGCTTCAGAGCAGATGATCGTGAATCTTTCGTCTGCATCGCAGCGAGATCAACGGGGATATACATGTTGTCGAATGAGGCTGGGGAGTATCGACCGGCGTTGTCAAGTCGTTGTCTTGTCGCCACGTCCATTGCCGATTGGAGAGAATGCAAAGTCCGAGGTCGGAGAGAAATCTTCCGTCGTGCTCGGCACAAGGTCCAACTCCATTCTCCTAGTGAGGAAGACGATCCAGTGCCCACCAAAACGATGCCAATGGTCCACGCGAGGCAGAATGAAACGACGATGGTCTTATCAGATGAAAATTTTTCGTGATCACGAAGACCCGACATGGTCACATGGGTATCTGGGTCTGGAGCTGAATCCCTGGAGAAGCTCCATTGAAAACAAGCTTGGCGGGAACGGCGCGATGAGGGCGGGTATCTGTGGCATGCAGAATCACGCACCGATGAAACTTAGGAGGGTTAAAGAAGCTGCAAAAGTGGAAAAGTGTATCTTGGGATTCGTTATCTGATGAAAATTCTCCTGCTTGAGGAAGTGGAAATTGAGTTATCTGATCCGTTCAGAGAGCTCCACTCTGTGAAGGATAGTGGAGCCTGACTGTTAATACAGGTAAAACCAGGGTGTAATTTTGGTATTGTATCATCTTTCAAATGACACCGATCTCAGGTTGAGACGGCTTCCGGATTCTCCCATGGGGCCATGTCATGGTCCCATCGTCGCGAGTAGGAATGCCATTGTCGGCGAATGGAAGTCTTTTGCTAGAGGCACAATTTGGTTGCATCAATTCTACACGAAGAGGAGGAGGGTTCAGGCGCTCCCAGTCGTTGGCCAACCAAGAAATCGTTCTGAGTGCCTCGATCCTCCTAAGTCATCGATCGAGGCCTCATCAATGCTTCCACCACTACAACAAGTATGATACAGCATCCAGACGCGTTCATGGATGGCAACAAGGGCACCGCTTCACCACCTCTCGACTTGGTGTGTGTCGGTTTTGACCTCACTGGCATCGCAAACGCTGTCGCATTGGACGAAAGACATGCACTCAGCAAGGATACCTTGTTCCTGGAATCTCAATTGGAAGCATTCTGGACGCCACTCCGGTGCACACCTGCCTCCAGACTTAGGATCTCATTTCTCCACGACCTGATCACCTCAGAGAATCCGCGTTCTCGATTCACCTTTCTCAACTACCTCCATGCAACTAATAGGCTCGTCTTATATGCGAACAGCGCTCAGCTGCGCCCGACTAGGCAGATGTTCAGCGACTACTTAAGATGGTGTGCTACCCGCCTTCACACCCAAGTCCAGTACGGCAAGATGGCCACCAGTGTGCAACCATTGAAAGACGGCAGGGGAAGCGTCGCTGCGTGGGAGGTGGTCTTTATGGATGCTGTGACAGGAGAACAAAAAGCCGTCACAGCCAGGCAGGTCGTCTATGCTGCATCGCAGCATCCCTATGTCCCAGAAGTACTCCGCACTCCTGCCCTTCGAAATCTCGTCCTGCACTCTTCAGAGTATCCGGAAGCCATCTCAACACTTCTACGCGACAAACCGAGAGCGCGTATCGCAGTTCTAGGAAATGGCCAAAGCGCAGCAGAGGCATTTGATCAGCTTCATGGGATCCGTGGAGAACACGAAGTCATTTGGTTCACCAAAGACGCCGTCCTTCGGGGAGATGACGAGACGCCATTGTAAGTTGGCCTCTTGGGTGTCCACCACCGGTTTCGCTTTCTAATGCTCTAGCGAAATCTAGCCTATTGCAAAGTATCATGCATCCGCATTCAGCAAAACAACAGAATATGCCACCCGAGATCAGGAGAAGAGAAGTCAATGGAGCCTCGCCCTTGACCTCTAGTCCGCCAATTGAACCTCGCCTCTTGAGACAGATATATGACACCCAGTACGACTTCAGTGTTAAAGAGCCGGACTGCAACAAGTGGAGATTCCAAATCAGACTCCAGCATGAGGTCATAAATGCAGAGAAAACTGTTGACGGACGCGTGCGACTTTTCGTGCAAAGTCTCGAGAATCCAAACGAGTCAGCAACATTCGACGCCGTCATTTCCGCGACCGGCTTCGAACAAAACGCCCACCATAGAACCCTCCAACCTTTAAAAGCGCTGCTCGATGGTCCTAGTGTCACAGTTGATCGCGATTACCACATCAACTTTAGAAAGGGCGTCCTCGCGCCAGGGTGCGGGATATGGCTTCAAGGATCTCTTGCCGATGATGGAGACCAGGTGAGTGACGGACTCCCATCTGTCTGCATCATCACTACTAATGTCTGGAATCGCAGAATGACGACAGCCTGCTCCAGATTCTTGCAGAGAGAAGTAGACGTCTGGCAGAGTCGGTACTGCGTCGGAGGACCGAGCAGACCACGGAGGAGGAGGAGGAGGGGAGGTCGGCAAGGCTGTAACATTGGCCACATGGAATCGCGCGCATGAATCAGGCTTTGGAACCGGGATATATATATATATCCAGAGAGAGGGAGGGAGAGATTAAAAAAGTCAACTCTTGTGGTCTGTACATAGAGTACACATTCTATCTTCGGCGGAACCTTCTCATCGCAAATGTCTGGTAACTACAGTTTCGGTTTCCCTTTAGTCACCAACTGCCCTGCGAGCTGCGCGAGCTCAAATTTTCTCACTTTTCCACTCCCTGTCAGTGGTATTGTGGCCGGAATACCATCTTCTCCAAGCCAGAAAATATGTGCTGGAGCCTTGTGCCTGCCAAGCTTCAGTCTCACCCATTCACGGATGTTTTCGTCGCTGGGACGATGAGCAATCGGACTGGTATATCCTCCTTCGACGCTTTGTTCCCGTTGGGCCGTTGAATGAGTCGAGCTGGTGCGTTGGAGAAATGCAGCCGGCACTTCGCCGTACCTGGAATGCTTGACACCGACGACGATAGCGCGGTCAATGGCCTCGTGCTCGACCAGACGACTCTCAATCTCTAAGGGGTAGATGTTTTCTCCACCTGGTAGGAGATGAATCGTCAGTGAGAGCTTTGATGAGTGCATGTTTAGAGAAGGCTTGCTTACCCCTGATAATGATATCCTTAAACCGACCCGTAATCGTGCACGTCTTGTCCCTGTGAAAGACAGCTTCGTCGCCGGTATGCAGCCATAGCACACCGTCTGCGTCACGGATCATGACCTCATTCGTCTTCTCCACATTCCTCCAATAGCCTCGCTGTAGTTGATAGCCGGCGATGCAGAGCTCTCCGCGCTCACCAACCGGTACGATTCTTCCCTGTCGGTCAACGATCTTTGCATGGGCGTGCGGCATGACTTGGCCAACGGTGGTGAGCTTCAGACTCGTGGGGTCATTGTGGAATGCGTTGAAACAAGTCGGCGAAGCTTCTGTTAAGCCTGATAGTACCGGGGGTTAGCCTGTCAACGGGCCCTTCTGGCTGAGTTACATGCGTGCCATACCGTAACTACTGGTGAACTCGGTCATCCCGAGTTCATTGACCATAAGTTCCATCAGGTGGCGAGGCACAGGAGCCCCTGCTATGATACCGGTTCGTAAGGCTGAGCAATCGAAGTGCTCAGGTCGGGGCAGGCTGAAAATTGAATCAAACATTGCCGGGACACCGTGAAGGGCAGTACATCGTTCCTCCGAGATGGCTCTCAGACACGCTACGGCGTCGAAGGTCTCTGCGGGATAAACCACTTTTCCGCCATGGGTTATGATGGCCAGTAGGCCGAGGACAAGGCCAAAGCAATGGAAGAGCGGCGGCGGACAGCAGAGCACGTCTTGATCCGTCAAGGCCATGCGGTCGCCAATGAAACGGCTGTTGTTGACCAAGGAGCTGGAAGTACCAGTTAGCTTTACAGCCCACGCAGGATATTTCTGACGGGAGGAGCTAGGAACCAGTAGGCTACTTACTGATGTGTCAGCATCGCAGCCTTTGGATTGCCTGTCGTTCCACTGGTGAACTGGAGATTGCAAACGTCATGGCAGCTGAATGTCTTTGAGGCTGCCTCGAGAATTTTATCGGATTCGATTGCTCCTGTCTCTAGGAGTGTTGCATAGGGGGTAAAATGGCCGGGCGGGCCTCGTAGAATGATAATCTCCTCGACCGTGCCTGGCTTCTCTCTCAGCTGGAGGAGGAGTTGCCCATTTTCGTGATGACCGATCCGGGGGGTTACAAACAATATTCGGCATTCTATGACTTCGAATCAGGAGTGGCTCCAATAGCAGGTTGTGAAAAGAAAAAGAAAACGTACCAGTGAATTTCAGAGCATACAATGCTTCAGATGCGGTGTAGGTGTTGTTCAAAATGACCAGTATACATCCCAGCCTCATACAGGCGAAGAAGACCGAGACATATTGCTCACAGTTTCCGGCCATGATACCGATTCGATCTCCTGCGCGTAGCCCTCGAGCAACAAGGGCTTTCGCAAGTCGAATGCTTTCGTCCCTGAGACGGCTGTAGGTCCATCTGGAGCCCGTCCACGGTACCACCAAGCATTCTTTACTCCCATACCTCTTGCACTGGAAATCTAGCAGCTCGCCGAGAGTAAAATCTAACAAAGGCACCTCCGAATTGCCATGAAGGATGGACGGAACCGTTGGAGGTGGAAATACCGTGGTCTCTGTGATGCTGTCTAGAGACATCGCAACAGGAAGCTAACGAATGCTCAATAGTCCCGATATTCAGCCTCTTCGTGCCCTAGAGCCCAGTCTGCAGTTGTCAATGTTATGTTGACATTGTGTAGAGAATCATCCCCACTCACGTGGTCTATCAGGCTGGCATTTTGCAGCTTCTGGAGACTGATGTTACGCGATCTCCGATCTCGGTTCGCGTGCCGGGCAAGAAAAGATGCACCTGCACCGAAGAATTTGCTTCAACGCGTATTTCACACTAAGCTTCCAACTGGGTGGCCGGGAAAAACCTGCAGGTAGCAGAGCAGATTCCGCCGAGTAGGATTTCGGTTCCACATGTTTCCATACGATAGAAAGATCAATCAAATTCACTCGTTCGAGCCATGTGGATTGAAGCGAGTAAACACCCCCTGGCAGCTTCTGCGAAGGTGGCAAAGTTATCCACTGCGACAATTTCGATCAACAATCAGATTAGATAAGATGTATAAGTTTGATAAGGGGGTTTATGTCGTGCCGCACCAGTAACAGCTGACGTTTGGATAGGTAGGTCTGTTGTTTTGCAACCCCTGTGACTTTTTCAATGCGTCATTTCTTTCACCGTGTCCACTTGTTGGGCACAACCGAAGCCGCCGGTCTTGACTACGCATTCAAGGTCTTAGGGACACCATTGACAGTCCTCTAATGACGCAGTAGAGGTTTGCGCCAATCGACCCATATTGTGAAAACTGCAACATTGGAACAAGAAGGGGAAACGTGGCTTGGCTTGATGGTCTTCGCAGTCTTGACAAGCTCCGCTCAATACGCTACGCCAACTTGGGAAAGAGTTCTTGATACAAGCGCGGTATCTCAGTCATTTCAGAGAGCTGACATTACAATACGTGTTCGGTTAAGTGATACTCCGTGAAATATTCCCCATACCGACATACCTAGCTCGGCGATGATCTCCTGTTAAGGAATTTGCCTGGAGCGGTAGTAAGGGTGGAGATATAAGTAAATTCCTGCTATGTACATGATTGACCATGTCCCCACCTACCAGGTTGAAACTCTGCACGGCGGTAACACTCTTGCTGTGACCAGAGTCTTCTGTCTTGGAACATGCATCAGCTGTACCCTCTCACAACTTCGAATCTATCCAGTCTGGTGATCGTTTCTCCACAAACGCCTGAATCCCCTCCGAGAAATTGGGTCCAGCCATCAAGCGAGGGTACCATTGATCAGCAAGAATCGACACCGCTTCCTCCACGCTACCAGTTTCCCAGCTCTGCCGAATACCTAGCCTGCCAACAATCAACGCATCCGGACTGTTGTTACACATGTCCTGGGCGACTTGAATTGCCACGGGGACAACTTCAGAGGCAGATTCCACCAGCCGACTAACCAGGCCCCAGTAATGAAGCTCCTTGGCGCCCACGTTTCTGCCAGTCAGAACAAGATCGGTTGTACGCTGCAGCCCCAGTGTACGTGTTAGCCGTGGTAGACAGCCTGCCACAGGGACGATCCCACGCTTCACTTCTGGCAGGGAAAAAATGGCCGAGGAGCAAGCTATGACGAGGTCGCAGTTGGCCACCATCTCAAAGCCGCCTCCCATGCACAGACCGTTCACCGCCGCGATGATCGGCTTTTTACCAACTCGACGGGGCAGCCCAGCGAGACCGGGAGCAGACATCTCGTTGACCACACCAGCTTTGTTCATCTCGTTCCATTCTGACCAAGGACATATTCTTGTCAGTTGCAGTCTCAGGTAAAGTTGTTGTTGTAGAGCCAGACCGCGCACCCGAACATACCTTGTAAATCTGCTCCAGTACAGAAAGCTCTGCCAACGCCTGTGATGATTCCGACCCATAAACTTTCATCTTGGTCGAAGAGCTCCCATATCCGTTGTATTTCGCGGCTCGTGGCTTTGTTGATACTGTTCAGTTTCTCTGGTCTGTTCAAAGTGACCTGGACGATTTTGTCAAGCGGGAAAGAGACTTGAAAATGCTGGAAGTTCAATGGCCTTGATCTGAGAGACATTTGTGTTCCGGGGTTTGCGTCTGGGTTGACAGGTTTCTCTGCAAGCGCAATTCAAAGGAAGTATCGTCGATTAGCTTCACCAGTTTCCTTCTCTCGGAAGAAGTTTGTGTCTTTTAGCCTCGTGTATATAAGAGCTTCACGTGCCGCCGAATTCTGAGACGTTGATGTAGCCACTGAAACGCTGTCTGCCAAGGTATCCGATCCTCGGCCTGAGGAGAGCGTTCAGCAAATTGCAAACTGCGCTCCATATTCGACAAAAGCCTACGAATGGAGGACCAGGTTGGGGATGGTGGGGGCTGTATGCCGTTTATTCCCCTTCCTCGGAGTCTTCGTCCTACTCTGCCATTTCAATCCCTTCTTCTCCCAGCAAGCTCCTCTCTCTAGATCCTAACACCAGAGAACGATTGTTGGGGGATGATTTTGATGTCGCTGTGACATTTATCTCATTTGGAACTCGGACTTTCAAATTCTTTCAGAATGGCTCATAATCCAACCCCTTCATACAAGTGGGCTCCGGTCAAGCTGCCACACCCGTTTCTGACCACATATCAAGTGCGCGCTGTTGCGGAAACAAAGCCAGCTAGATTCATCTTAACACACGAGGGTCAGCCCCCGGAGGGACGGCCATTGCCAAAACCGTTACATAGCGACTCGCTCTCGTGGCAGGAACTGTTGTTCAAACCCAAGGAGCAGGTTCCGCCCATTTCCAACAACAGCGCTTGGGCACGTGCAGTTCGGAGTCCTCACACAACATTCGAGTGGGTGGGAGGCAGCCCACCCTCCCTTGGTCAGA